AGGCGCTAAAGCCTACTACGACCAAAAGACAACCAGCCGCGAATACGAGGTGGGTGACAAAGTATTCTACTTTCGGTTCGCCCAACCGGCACGCAAACCTAAGAAGTTCCTGCCCTGCTGGTCAGGACCATTTGAGATCGTGGCAAAACTCTCTCCAGTTGCATACAGGTTACGCATCACCAAAGCGAGACAGGAGCCTGTCTACAAATGGGTGCATGCAAACCAAATCAAACCCTACGTCAAACCGTCCCCGCGGGTACAGAGACCAGACTCCCCGCAGGAGGTAGACGTAGTCTCTACATAGTTCTATGCATGGAAATGGAAAGGGGGGGAAAGTGCACGTTTAACCCACTAACATGTACTAACCGACAAAGACCCAGGCCCCCCCCCCCCCCCGCCGTCACTTTCACTAACCAAGATAAACTCCTTCCCAGACCGCTAACAGGAAGTACTTACTAAAACCTTACAGGGTACTCTTGTAACTGTCAACCTACATTCTGCTCTGATTAATGAATCTCTACGTGCAATCAAGACTTTGTCTGAAACCATACATCAGGATATTGTGTACACATGAGTGGTGAGAGATTTGATGCAGGACCTGCTCAGGGAAGTAAGTTCCACGCTGGACAGCTTGGTTGAAAGTCGTATTTCCCCGTACTTGGTACCACTGGACCTGCTCAAAGTTAGCTTGACAGCTGCTACCCCTCTACGGTGCACCTTTCACAAATCCACCTAGCGTACAGCCTAGGTAGTGCAATTCCCATTCACGTTGAAAAAAAAATTAGAACTCGGTTTCCTGTTAAACGTTCCCATAATTGTGACACCTCACATCTATAGGTTTAGGTCGATGCTGAACATTGGTATTTGAAAGGACGGTAGGCATTTCCACTTTGAACTAGAAACCTGACACTCCATCACCTCAACCTCGAACAGCATGACTCAGAGATTGAGATCATGGACGCTTTCCAGGGTTATAACTTTGCCTTCGATTTAGAAATTGACCAACAATTACTGATTGAAGGAACCAAATTTGTTAAGTTCACACAAAACCCGCGTGAACTTACTTTGACGCCCAAGACGCTACATTGACACAGATTATACGACTTTAATCTGCACATTGGTCGCCCTGGGGATGGGATGGCTCATCACGGCCGTGATGGCTTAGTCCGCCTACAGGCGTGTTAAGAAACTCCAAGATAAGATGCACTTGCTCACCTACGGTGTGCCTCGTAACCGCGTTCGGGGAGACTCCAAGCGTGAATGTACCACACCTGTCTAAAGGGGGTGAGCAACATTTTCTTTGTTATTTTGTAACCCTAAGAGTAGTTCTCACTTTAGTCTACCTCACATTTTTATCTGAGTGTTGCATTATGTCACATTCTTTATAAGCTACACACTGAATGTATGACCTAAGAATGTATTTTATGAGACCTCAAGGTTGCTATGAATTTTCTTGGATGTTATATGTTACATGTTTTTTTTTTGGGTTTTCTGTATTTTTTGTTTCTTACTTGGTCACATATTGACTAGTGGTTATGTGCCGGCCCAGCTCAGTCTGTCAATGACTCTGTCTGACGCACCAGCACATTGTAGTACCTCTTAGTTTTATGGTCCTTGTTTTAGCCCAAAGACTGTCCTGATCCACCCTTTGGACCAAAAAAGGGGGGAATCTTGGGACCACATAGGTCAATGCGCGTTTGCGAACTATGGACCTCGTACATCACCGCGTGATCCATAAACTGAACTGTATGGCCGGCGGTGAGATGCCTTTGTGTCCCCTCGTGGAGTTAACCGCCCACCGACCTTCCTCCTTCTACACTACTACCTCTCGCATGGACGACATCATCATTGCGTACCACCTGCGTGAGTGGCTTCTTCTCGTTATGCGCGTTGGGGACTATCCCGTTTCCTATCCTCTTTGTGCCTGACAAAGACAAAGACCAAAGGCGCCAGGATCCAAGACAAAGGCGTCCAAGGAGACCAACGTCCTAAGGGACAAACCCACCTGTGCTTCCGACAATCAAGTCGACCTACGTTCATGAGGAACAAACCCATCTGTGCTTCCGACGATCGAGCTTTGGGCGCGATCCCCGAAACCAAAAGGGGGAATGTTGAGGGTCTGACCTCATGAGGAAATTACTATGCAGTGATTTTCTCCAAAATGACTGTGCTTAAATTGCTCTGAAAAGCAAATAATCACATCAGTGCCAAGAAACTTCATTTCCCATGATGCTTTGCACACGGAAGCATTGGGTGATGTCACCGCCTAGTACCAGAAACACGTTCTGCGCATGTGCGGGAAGCCGTGGAGCTTTTCCCGCAAACTAAGACCATAAATCTTCAGCAGAGACAAAGAAACCTCGTTTCTTTTGCCCAGGATACCTGGCGGTTAGGACACGCTTGTCAACGCTCCGACAACTTGAGCACGCGGAAGCTCTAAGTGCCCGAGTTGAGCCCACGGAACTGCTGGAAACTAAACTGCAAGCCCATCAGATCTGCTCGTTTCTGCTCCCCTCCAGCTGATGTTTGAGGACACAGAACTGCGGAGGAAAGCAACAACTCCATCAAGCACGCTGTAAGTTATAACTCAGCACAGAAAGAAACTTTGCTGTCTCTGTCCAGCCCGTGGAGAAACACTCGTGAACGCCAAACAACGGAGAAAGCATCAAACCGACGGACGACGCCGAAAACTGCGGAGAAAACGGAGAACCGTCAAATCATAACAGCGGGGACGCCTTGCTGCTTTGGTGATCAGAAAACTCATTTTTTTTCTCTCTCCTTTTCTTCTCCCGTTTCCTCTATAGTCCAGAATAAGCAATAAAACCGCGCTATTGCTTAAAAAAGTAGCTTCGTGTTTTCCTCTTTCGCTCCCAAACACGTCCGTCGGGTCATTTTGAAAGAATAAACTGCTTATTGATCATTGTTTGGTATCTTAAAATGGTTTCTGTCATGGCCAGGCTGAAACTAAAAGATATTAATTTGTGATTAATCTTTTGTGTTGTTTCATGATCTTTTGAAATGTTTTGAGTGATTTAAGGTTAAGTTACTACTGATTCTAAGTGCTTTGGAAGTTAAAGTGCAAGTTGCCACCCACACTTTAGCCAGACAAAGGGGTCAGCCATCTTGTATTCAAGACTCCATTTTGAATCCATACACACGCACACACACACACACACACACACACACACACACTACTCCTTTGTGAGAACAAAGGACCCCATTCATACATCCTCCATCACATGCAAACACATCCATCTTCAATCATATCACACGGTTATTATTCATCTATTCCACTGTTTATTCATTTGACAATTTGTTAATTAAATGTTATAAAATTCAGATTTTCGTCTCCAGTAGCTTTGTTGTGTCGAAGAGAAGTCTCTGCTCCAAGGATTCTACGAACTTCAAGAAAGACTGATAAGAGTTTTGGATTCAATTTTTTCCCCGGTAAAAGGGGAATGGTGCCCCGTATATCTAAGAATATCTTAATTAATTAATAAATCAGTAAATATTCCCATATTTACAGAATTTATTGAAGAATCCAAAAGTAAGTTGAAGCTTACTAATTGTTCGCTCCTAATAACCCCAACATATGTCAGATATTGTATGATAAAACCAAAATGATGGTCATGGAGAGCTATTGTAATACTGAAAACCCTTTTCCAGTATATGTGCACAAGCTTATGGATCTGCTGTTCGACTCTGTGGTGGTGGATCCTCTCCCATATCAGGAGTACTCGGACAAAATTCCGGTTCCAGAACCTCTCTGTGCCCAGTTCCAAAGACCAGATAAACGGGATGCTGTGAGCAGGCACAGGTCCAGGTTTTAAAGTGCACGTAAGGTGAGCTACACAACAAGAGATTGTAATTATTAGTTAGTATTCTACTCTGTGTGGTTTTTCCTTTTCTCCTCCTCAGCCAGGCTGCACACCACTGTACGACAGAGGAGTTACCTGTCGTCATTATGGATCTTTATGCTCATCCACTCGTGACTCATGCTGTCCACCTCCCAGATGTCTATTGATCTCTACAACCTTTCTGCTCTGTGGCTCCCATACAACTTGAAAATCTTGGCCATATGTAACATAGCAAAACTCATCAGCCTTGCTTTTGTAAGTCATACTACAGTCATACTAATATTCCATTTTTCCTCAGAGCCTCTTGATCTTGTAACAGAAAATCCTGTGCTCCTGGGATCCATCTCCACGTTTGTCATCACAGTGAAAGCTACCTCCAGTCTAAGGAACCAAAGAAACATCACTGTTGGCCCAACCTCTCCTCACATGGCTCCAGAATCTCTGCTTGTGGTTTAGAGTTTTGTCAAAAATCATGAAAGTTATGATCAGATTGTAATCTAACATTGTCTTAGTAGTAGCTATAATAAATGTTATCTTTGCAGCGCATTTGTGTCATTTTAAATACAATTATATTGATAATTTGATGTGTATAAATACATATATCACATTTATGAAATTATCATTCATTTTTACCTAATTGAACCTGCTCTAGAATAGACTTCATTAATCACACAGGGTGTAAACTCACTTGTTACAGCACCATTAATTAACCCCGAATTAGAACCTTACTGTTGTAAGAGCTCATTTGAAAGTGTGTGGCTATATGTGTGTATATATAAATAATGTCAAAGTGTAAAGAAGTGCATTTACCGTTTAGTGATTTATGCAGCTTTTTATGGACAGGAATCAATACAGGAAATATATATTATAACATTTATTTAATCCAAAAAATATATATTAGTTCAGAGGAGGGAGGAATCCTTTGTATGCACCGTCTTCTGGGAACTCCTGCCTTATTCTGGAGACAGCGCATGACGGGATCACAACACGAACGTGCTGTCCCAGGTAACCCCAACACCACCTGACCACATTCCGGTACGCCAGATGTCTGTAACAGCTGAGAAAGAGGTGGTATGAGTAATAAAGTATTCATAAAAAAAGTAATTTGACAGTTGTCTTACCTGTTGAGCTTAGTTTCCTGCATCTCCCCATAGAGTTGCAGAAAGGTGCCATAAACTGCCTGCAACACGTAGGGATTCAGAGCAACAGGCTCAAAACCAGGATGCTCAGTTATGCAGGAGGTTACACCCACCTGCTGACACCTGAGCATTACCTACGACAAAGAACAACTGATATCAGGGCTGTAAGAGTTCAATATTAGTATGATGTTAGTGATTGTGTAACAAATGTGTACATTACAGAATGCTTTTCTCATGGTGGGGTACTTTTATTTTTATACCTTGGGCGTTTCTCTGCAGCACACATTTTCTCTGGCAGACAATGATGTGCAGTGGCCGCAGGTGCACCTGTTGAGGCAGTCATACAGTATTACTTTTAGCTAAGCTAAATATAGCTAACTGTGGCTAAAAGCTACTTACCACTCAGAGACTGGACCCATTCGATGCCTTCATACTCCTGTTGGCTCGGCTCCAGGGGCCTCTGACAACTCACGAGCTAGTGGCTCAAAAAGATACGGTTCAGGACCGCTTGCTTCCCCCAATAAGCCCTCCTCCCTATACTCTGGGGAAGAAGGTGGGGAAAAGTCCTCCACCTCGAATGACTGCTCTGAGCTAGTGTCGCTCTCCGTCGCCATCTGTATTCAAATTTCAGTATGTCAATCACGGTTGTAGCTCCACCTTCTCGGTCTTACAGGAAACGCCTCTTTGGGCCGCATTTTTCAAATATGAAATGTGGGTGGAGTAAGACTGAGGGGGATATTACCACTACTTTAATGACACATGCAGGTGCACAGATATTTAACACGTTACACAAAGAGTACATCGTGGAGGTAACCTAATCACTTAAAGATCCACACCAGAGCATCTGCGCTCTCACACTTTCTCACACAATCTTTTAAGAGTGGGCTCAAGCGCCATGCTAAATAGGAGCTTGAAGCGTGTCTGTGACAGACCTGTGCTCAAGAGTACAATGTCGAGTGCTTCCCGTTCTAGATAGTGTTAACCCTTCTTTCACAGAATCTGATAGACTCCTGGTTATTTAATTTTGATAAATGTTTCCCAATTTTAAAACTTTGGCTTAAGTAGCACCCGATATTCCGTCATCCGCTCAGATCCCGTGTGTCAGCGGGGCGCTGAATTATCAGGACAAAATTTAAACCGCCATGAGTGTCTTGAGTCAAAAGTCCAGAACTTCACAAGTCTCTTCAGCATGCTTCTAAGAGAGACTTGATTACAGACAGGCAGGTGCCAAATTCAGGTTTATGCCGGAGTAGATGAAATTTGCGTTTTGGCCACATTGTTTATATGTTACGAGCCCACGGGATTCAGCTTTTTTAGACCAAATAAAAAAAAAAATTATGGAAATGTAATGGTATTATTAAATGTGTGTTATTATTAGTTTAAAAACAAAAGTGAAAGGAAAATGGAACATGTGACCTCTGGCAGCAAGCAAAAGCACTTTGCACACCCCTATCCAGTAGCGTTTGCTCAGAAAAATTTACATTTAAATAAAATAGCACAATGGCGGATGCTGCAGGAAAATAACGATTAAGCTGGATTTTAACATTAACTGTGTTTAATCCGGACCATTTATATGTTACTCTACCAAACAACAAGTGTAAAATTAAACAAAAATTCAGAAAAATCAAGATGTCTCTTCCAGCAAAAATATTCAATGTGCTTCCATTAAAAGATTCCATGTTTGGACTTCTGCTGTGTTGTCCAATCATTCCGTGCATGATTACATTGAGTCACATGCACAAATGAATTGCCCAGTCATTTATTGGACTGACGATGGAAGGTTGGAAAGTTATACATATAACCCAACACTACGGAATTTCCAAGCAAATTTTTTTTTGCTCCCAATCAAACTCATTTGATTTTTAGTATCTGCCAGTTCTGAGTCCAAATCAGATACTTCAGCTAAGCATTAAACTAAGAAGGAAAAAAGTAGAACACATCCAAGTTTTACTTAAATTTATGATATTTATTATCATTTAGGTAATGGCTTGTAATGGTTTGACCAACCATGAAATATGTCATGCTCCTTGTCGGTGTTTTGGGGTGTGAAGGTAAGACACCAGAAAGTATTGTGGGCATTTTCTGTTATTCTTAAAGAAGGAGTCGGAGACGGAGTTCTCAGCCAGACAGCGTGGTCTTTTTATTCATCTGCTCACAGCTCAGGACAGCCAAAAGACAAAGACAATCACGAGTGGTTCCCTTCTTTTATAGCCCCCACTCTTTGAACATTCCAGCTCACAGTCAACAGACGAGAACCAGACCATATTTGGTAGCACATCTCGTGGAGGCTATGAGTGGAGACTTCTTGCCTGGAACACAGGAACATTTTTGGAGTCACATCAAGTTTACTGTTAGCAAGTAAGATAAGCATCTAGCTTTTACTGGAAGCAGGCAGAGACCTAAACAGGAAATTCCTTTGGAGCTGATGTTGAAACAGCGCACAAACTCTAACCAGAGAACACATCTCGATAAGCTTTCAACCTAAGAACTCAGTTTCAACTCAATACATTTTGTAGATGACCTCTTGACCTTTTTGGCGCCGACAGTATCTCTCATGCATGCTTTCTCAATGTTTGGGGAGCATAGTAACATGAATCCCTGAGTGTTTCCTGAAACACCATCTAACACAGGGGCTGGCAACCTGTTCCCATCAAAGAGCCATTATTACCCGTTGCCCACTGTAAAGAAAACACTGGGAGCCACAGCAGACAGCTGCTTCAACCAATCACAACAGGTGACAGCAGCCAGTACCGGTCTCTTGTGTACGTCAAAGTTATCTTTCATAAGACGATAATCAATAAAACTCTTTGCAACAATTTTCACAAGAAAACAGAACAGTTAAAAGCAGGGCTTGTGTTGACCGGACAGTTCCCGTATTTGACCGTTTATTTTGACGGAGAAAGAATAGAAAGAATTACCCCGACGCATGCAGATGAACAGACATTTTATTCGTTATGCACATCGTAGATGTCGCTAAATCACTCAAGAAAAGATTCCCATCTGAACATCTGAGCTGGACACTGCTCAGCGCAGCTCACTGTCAGCGTGTACTACATAAGGTCCACAGCGAGCCGAAGATGTGGAGAGGGGCTTTGAGCGCGTCGCAGAACCAGAGCGCATGCGGGAAGATTCCTCCGACAGAAGCGAGGCTTGTCACTTAGAAAATGTTCCCTGATTATGAAACTTTGGCTGAATAGTGCTTGTTCCTGTCTCCAATGTGGCGACACATCCAGGAGCTGTCTGAGGAGAATCCCAGAATCTCACATCCTCTTCAGCTCAGAAAGCGCCGATATGATTACGCACATGCGTGATGCGTCAACCCGGACTCACAGTAAGACCGGGTTGGGCCTGTTCAGGTTTACGCAGACAATCTTTACATAGAATTGGCTTACAGATGTAAAATTAATGCCGTAAAATATAAAGCATTTTATTTAAATATCCATTCATTATTTTACAAGCACAGAGAGGATGGATCAGATGGATGGAAGAGCCGCATGCGGCTCCAGAGCCGCGGGTTGCAGACCCCTGATCTAACACCTGTGTATGTGTCTTTTCTCACTGTGCACACATTAGCTTTTATTTTACTGGACTTGGCTTTCCTACTCAGCCTTCTTTTTTCATAAAGCTTTTGGTGCTATAACAAAATATTTTATAGTTCATATTCTAACATTGTTTTTGTCTCTGCAGTGATGATGATGAAGATGATGGTGATTTGGCTGTGGCAATTTACGAGTCCCTCCAGGTTAGTTTGCCTTCCCCAACCATGGAAGAAGTGATATTTCAAGAGGTTGACTTTACAAATATTTAGTAAAGTAAAATTGTAATCTTAACATTTTAATATTTGTCATTCTATTAACATATTATATTTACGTCTGATGTTTGTGCCCTTCATTGTTCTACTTTGTAATTTTTTGTTCTGTTTTCTGCTTTATCTGTGCCCTATTTGACAAACTTGACCACTATGTTGCACAGTTTATTTACAGTACACAAGGGTTTTCCTGCATTCAAATTAGCATGGCGGCCACCTCCAGCTATTTTTGTGCTGGTGTCGGTACAAGATCTGCTCGGGTGCAAGATCGGTTCGGGGTCCGTCGGCTGCCGATGACGTCAAAGTAGTTGATTGGCTGAACATGAACCTTACGGAAGTACGTAATAACGTTACGTTGTTATCACGTTACGTTGTTATCACGTTACGTTGGTCCAGGCAAATCTTTCTGTTGGAAAGCTGGACAACTTTTACAAAGAAATCCATCATTACCTCTTTGAAAATACACTTTTAGCATAGAGCTGCATGTATATTAGGGCTGAACGATTAACTGCATGTGCAATTAAATTGCGATGTGACAAAAGGAGATTTTCTAATCACAAAGGCTGCAATTTGGCAGCGAGTGGTTAGCGCAATGCTAATATACGTGGAAAAAGCAATAGGAATGCTAATGCTAATATCACCGATTACATTCTTACAAATTATGAATTAGAAACGTGCCAAATGATTACATTTGGAGTCTAATAGAAAGTAAAACCACCATCAATCAAATAAGTACAGACAGGTATTTTAGTAAAGCCAGAAAACTTTTAACTCCAGAGTTTTGGCTAGCAGCTATGAGCGTAACTGAACTACGCATGGACAAGACGTCAAAAACTAAACACAAAATACTTCAATAAATGGGACACACTTCTTTCCTGCAAATACAATTTCACAGGTGTTGCTAATACCTATGATCCTTCAAGGGATGTGCTCAAAGAGGAGTTCAACATTATGACTACAATATAGTGTTTTATTTTACAAATACCATTATTATAAACACAAACTTACATCATAAGAAACATTATTTTAATAACGAAATTGCTAAATTCTTTCCAACAGTATAGATGTGTAGTGTATTTTGTCCGAGTGGGTTTGCCGTACTTTGACGTCATCGGCAGTCGAAGGACCCCGAGCCGATCTTGCACCCGAGCAGATCCTGTACCGACACCGGTCCAGCCTTATTTCCCTCTGCCCCCAACTATATGGATGTTATTTTAACTGCAGTTGCAGCGTTGCGCCACTACAGGGGCGCTGTATCAGCAGCGGTGCACTGAAAAGCGCTAAAACCGCTGCAGAAAAATATCAAAAATTGCTTTTCTCGCTTTGGTACATATCGATGGTTGGTGCTATTAACGTCCTGATTTTCCCCCAGGCTCTTCCATATTGGAGCAGGGCTGTAACTGTCTGTGCGCGTCTGTCTATTTTTAAACGTAGCACTGGTGCAACATCTTTGAATTACTATTTTCCCCAGAACTTTATTGAACAAAAGTAAGTTACATGTAAGAAAAAACTTTTTACTAGTACACAGTGTGGTAATCTGAATGCAATTGAGGAAAATAAAGGAACCAGCAAAAGCACAAATGCAGAACTGGTCCAAAGTTTGGGATCAAAAGTGCAGATTGGCTAAAGCTAACGGGTAGCAGTCTCGTGATCAAGTGGCACACAGACAAATATATGATGATGATCATAAAAATAAGAAAGACTAAACTCTACAAGCGGATGAAAAGCCCCCACCATCCTGTTTGTTCTGCATCCTGCAGCGCTACGGATCAGAACCGCTGCAGATACGAGTCACACAGGAGCAGGAAGTACGGCAAGCCGTTATAGTATATAATTCACAAACGCATCTGTCTTTGAACATAATATAAACTGGATTATTTTCAACCCGTACATAATAGATATGCCACCATTACATTGTTAGCAGCAGAAATTAAATGTTATTACCATTTCCAATACAAATGCATGTTAATGAAATGCATTATATTTTACTGGATATATTTATGTGCTATTTTGACAAAGATGAGTGTTATTAAAATAGACCTAAAATGTTACTTAAATGTAGGTCAAATATTTAAAAATATTTTTAACTATAAATATCAGATAGGAAAAAGGGAACTAAACATTAATCTAATGCATATTATTGAGCATTTCATAATAAGAGTCTGTTATTTCAGCCTGATTGTTTAGTTGTTTTATTTTATATTTTTTAGCAGCAAACCCTGTTTTGTTTCACTTGAAACGTTGCCCAATGGAATATTCTATTAATCAACAGAAGCTTAGATTAGAACACTTAACGAAAAAAATATTTGGCCTTTAAAAAAGTGAGACTATTGAATGCACAGAGTATGCATGTGATAGCGCATGGTCAGGATGGTACCACCTCTGCCTCAGTTTGAGCCAGGAAAAACCCTGGTACTTATTTATATGGATGCTCCGACCATGTGATCAGAAAT